TAAAAGCTCAGGCAAGAGGTGACAGGCTGAACTGGCAGTGCATTGGCGTATATTGGCAGTGCACCCGATGGAGAAGAGTGAACAGATTAATGAAAACATTTAGGAGCTAGACAGGGTAGATCTTTGGTGAGTAGGGGAGAGAAAAGTTAAGGATTACTCCTAGGATTCAGATGATTACATGACCAGCCAGTAGCAAGGTGGTACCATTTTTAATGAGAGAGAATCTGTCATACAAGGTAAGCAACAGACTTTGGAGGAAAGATAGTGAGCTCAGTTTTAGAAATACTGAGTTCAAAATATGTGTAAACTGCCCAGATGGAAATATCCAGGAGGAAATTGGCAATAAATCTGAACGTGTGGAGAGAACTCTAGATTGGAGATGCAGATTTGTGAGTCATAAGCATAAAGATGGTAATTAAAACTTGTAAATGTGACCATACAAGGCTCAAAGAGCGTATTTGGGTCCAATATGAAAAACTTTTGAGGAGCTCAAAGAGGAGAAAGGGTCTGTTATGGCCTCCATGCTGCCAAATATCTTCCCACTAAGCAGTCAGTGTCTGAAATTGCCATTGTGATTTATTAATCTTTTAGGTTACGGTTGTATTTCTAAGGAATTGCCTCTTAAAATACCTTCGGGAGGAATAAAACAGACAACAGTAACGAAGAGAACTGAACTAGGTATTTAGACACCACTTTCTAACACTGACTTTGGTATTGATTGCCTGGGTGATGTCTGGCAAATCACTTTGCCTCGGGTTCCTCATTTGGAAAATGAGGAAGTAGGATCAGGTGATCTTTAAGGTTTGGTAGACTGTGATTCAACTAATAATAATACCTTATTGTAAGTTAGTTCAGTGATTTTCAAATCTATTTTAGCAGCAGTGAGCCTTCTTTGAAAGAATTCTCATGCAGAAACACAACGTATTAGTCAGGATGCTTTGGTTGCAGAGGTACAACTCAAGTTAGTTTCGAAGTAGAAGAGAATTTACTAGTTAATTTAGCCACACTATGTGATATGTGAAAAGGTGCAGCTGGACTCTAGGGATGACTGGAACCTGGAACCGCAGCACTGCCAGGACTTGCTCTCTCCACTTGTCATCTCTATGTGCTGGCTTCATGCTACCAAGGCAATATGTGGCCACTGGCCACTCTCAGACTTCCTTCTTGGCTCTACACTTAGAGCCAAGGGAGAGTCCTTCATCCCTTAGTTCCACCTGAAAACATCCTGGGGAAGAACTTTGCTTGTTTTCATTTGAATCATAAGCCCACCCTTCAGCCAAGAAGCTGGGGGACTTTCTTGGGCTGCAGCTGCCACTAGAATACTTGTTTATAGTACAGGCAGGAATAGTCTCCTGAATGAAAAGAAGCATTATTCGCAGAAAAAAGAAGGTTATTGGGCAGACAAATAGATGGCCAATACGTAAAACATAAAATACAGGCATTCTAGTTGAGGTCTCAACTATCAGGTCCCCTCTGGGTACTCTAGGCAGCTTCTAAAACATGTCTTCACTGACTCTGTGAGGATCCTTGGAGTATAGCATTAAAACAATTGATTTTATTGATTGGTTAGCATGCCAATTATCTTCAAGTCCTTGACAAACTGAGGAACTGGACATTTATTGGTGGTGGTTCTTGCCTGGAATATAGGAAAGTGCCAACAGAGTGATACTGAGGTTGACGGAGTTGGGGTGGATATTCTGAATATTCAGAGATGAAGGGACTTGAGAATGGGATTGCAGAAAGAGGAGGCAGGAGGTGCCAAGATTAACTTTGCCTATTTACCGTCTTATCTAGGACTGATGTATCATATGGTATTTATACTATTAGTAATGATGGAAAATGTTCATATTTGGCTAAGATAGTATGATGGTCCTTTGTGTCACCCACAGTTATTCTGGAAGAAAGAAACAAAAGAGGGGTGATGGAAAGAGAGACTGGGTGGACACAGAGAGGGCTGAGGCAATCAGTAAAGCCATCTTCCCTGGATGAACATACCTATGGTAGATAGTGTCTTATAGAAATATAAGAAATAAAGCAATGAGGATATATATAGAGAGGAAGAGGAACGAGATGAGCAAAATATGGGAAGACAGAGAGGAATGTAGTTCAATGAAAGGTAGAATATGTCACTGTAAAATAGTTTGGAGGCCCTGTCAGGAGGTCTGGGAAGTAAAAATTCAAGATTATTCTGAATAGGGCTTGTTTAAAAAGTTATTGTACTAATGACTATCAGGTAAAATTACATTAAATTATTTTACTAATTATACCTTACTGAATACATTTACATGTGACACTTGAAAAATTATGTGTTATTGGTATAAAACTGTGTACTGAAGTCAGTAAAATAATTGATTCTTTATCAAGTAGTAATAATACGCTTGTCAAAAATTGAAATCTTTGCCTTTTGAGCAAGCTACTCAGTAGAATTTCAGAAAAGAGATGAACATAGTTATAAGGAAATATAAAGGATTTTTCTGGGTCTAGCTACCTGTGCTACCAACAGAAAAATACATGGAGAGGAAGATTTATTCAGATCAAATATTATTTGCTAATTTGAAAAAGATACAGGTGGTCTCTAGAACTTCAAGTACTTTATTTTTAAGAAAGAATGGACCACTTCTGTAATAATACAAATGAACATAAATGTTTCAGAACAAATTGTACCTACTCACTGCTGCTATTAAAGCAATTTGGTCAAAAAGGCCTTACTTAAGCCAGAAGCTTTCAATTGGATAAATCACTTCTTTAAAGAGAGGTTTTTTTCATTGCTTTCTTATCTCTAGTCTTAACTAAAAAATTATAATATCTGACACACATGCATAATTCCCACTGTAATCTTATTTGAAAAGATATCAAAAGCAGGCTACTATTTTGTTCCAAACCTTGATCTACTATAAAACTATTTTTTAAAATGGCTGAAGTGCTACTCTTTTGTTGTTGGCATTTGTCCTTTGAACTGGAGTTTTAAGAGGGAGTTTTTTTTATATTAACGAAGATTTAATTTCTCAGCTAATATAATTTGTACAACGGCAACTTAAAAAATGATTGTTTCTCTAATCTCAATCTTATTGCAAGTGAGAAAAGCAATCTATTTTCGAATGATATAATTATACAAGTTACATAAAAGTATTTTCTTGTTTTCAGTGAGTCAATCCATTTAATATGATATAAAGAAAACATCCTTAAGAGTACCCCTCCCCAAAAAAAAAAAACCCACTGCCATCAAGTTGATTCTGACTCATACTGATCCGATAGGACAGGGTAGAACTGCCCCAGAGTTCTAAGGAGCGACTGGTGGATTCAAACTGCCAACCTTTTGGATAGCAGCCATAGCTCTTGACCACTATGCCACCAGGGTTTCCTCCTTGAGAGTAAAGACTATCTAAACTTAAACTGCACTCAACTGACATTTTAATAATAATCTCTACTATTCTTAACTCTAAATGTTACAAATTACCTTCTTTTTCAATGGATGTTGATGCATTTACTATTTAACATTAGAGGCCAACAATGAACTTTCTATACATAAACCCGAGCTTCAGGACCAGCAAACCCTACCATTACTGTTTATTAACATCCGTATGGCCCTCCTCTCTTCCCTCACACCCAGTCACTAATGCTAGTCAGCCTGTGAGGGTGGGCAGATATCACATGGCTCAAGTGAAAATGTCAGCTGTATTTACATCAACCTTATCCTCTGACATTGTGATTAATTTTGTGCTATCTTTCATACTTTCATTTCTGGTTTGTTCTATGAGAATTTCCTGTTTATATGTCTGCTTCCCCTACAGCTACTTAAGGAAAGGGACTGTGTATGTTTAACTTTGTATCTCCAATACCAAATACAGTGTCTGGAACACAATACATGCTATATGTTTATTTACTGTATAATTGAATAGCCAGAAATCTATATATCTATGGATATTTGAAGAAACTTAAATCTGTGAGGCTATCACAATCTAAATTTGTATTTTTTCAGATGTTTACTTCCCTCTTTTCTTCAACATTTGGTAGTATTTCTCCTTGGGGAGGAGAGTTTGTGCGCCAAGGAGAAATGCTGTGGCAAGATGCCATTAAGGGAAGTTTACTATTCTGGGCTCCTAAAGTGACTTGTTTGGCTTTATTGCTTACAAAGTCAAAGATAATTTAATCATTTATACTCTAGACAGTTGGGAATGAACGGGACTTCTTCCAGGATTAACACCATTTTGACATCTATTACAGAAGTTGGTATGAGGGTGGTGTAATACTAGGAAGGGAAATGTAAACTCAACACCGGTGAAAAACAAAGTAGCCTTAGGTCTTCTCTGTCCTGAGGGGCTTCTTCACTTACTCGCCCACTCACTCCCTGACTCACCAACTCACACTTGCTGGTGACAAAGATAAAAGGCGGTGCAATTGTGCTTCTGCAATGGTGGACTCTTAATAGCTGTTCAGTTCTGGCTAAATGATCATTCACATTTTCACCGCACCTTCCCCCCCCCAGGAGATGAAGGCATTTTACATTCAATAACAGAACCTAAGATTAATAGCAGCAAACACAACGTGCTTAGTGTGCTGAACAAATCTCCGGTGGGAAAAAAATACCGAAAGCTATTCATATACCCTTGGCCAACACTGGTAAATACACAATCCTGAAGCATGCATTGAGAAAGAGATTGAAATTGTGCAAAACTGCAACAGTAGTATTTTACCCTTAGAGCCTGTGTAATTTGCTTGTTGTAGTGCTGTCGGTAAAAGCTGAAGCTGATCCACAGAAATGAAATGAAACTCCAGAAACTTAAAATGTCGAGACCACATTCACCAAGGAAACATTAACATTTCTAGTTTTCATCTTAATGTTTTCATTCTGTAGCTGGCACGCATAAACTGCCAATGTAATTACTATCGCGAGACGGGAGAATTTGAAAATAGGACGGGTTACCACAGAGAGTCACAGGTTCTTCTATTTACCTTTCACGATACAACTTACAGATGCTACACATTTTTAAAAAACTCACTGAAGATGTCAGGAAATATTTTCTTTGGTCTCCTCACTTCATCTGATGTCTCATTAGTCACCCAGATCAGCGCTCGGCTTCGCTGTTAGGCGCCTCCGGCGAGCTTGTAGTAAACAGCGCCGAGTTCACGCAAAAACACGGGTGAAGCTTTGTGTATGTGTGTTTTTGATACCCTACTAGCTTTCCCAGCTCTGCTTGTCACTCAGCCAAGGAAAGGAAGAAAGAAACAGCAAGGGTCAAGAAAAAGAGAAGGAAGAACACTGCCCAGCGCACGCGCACTACGACAATACGCAGCACACAAGGGGTGGGGCCAAGGCGCGGCTCTGGAGCTCCGCCCCGGCGCTGCTCCGCCTCCTACCCCTCACCCCACCCCTCAGCGCGGGGGAGTGACTGACTCCCGCCAGCCCCTCCACGTCAATCAACCCTTCTCCTCTCACTCTCTGCACCTTGTTATTAATCTCAATACCAATATCGCCCCGACGCCTCTCCCCCGGCTTTCGGGGGTGTGAATGTGTGTGAGCGCGAGCGAAGGCACCGAAAGCTGTGCAGCAGCGTCGGCCTCGGCAGCAGCAGGCATAGCAGCAACCCCCACAGCGGCGGCAGCCCCAGCGCCAGGAGGCCAAGGCCAAGGCCAGGCTCCGAGCTGCTCCCGGAGTAATAGCCGCGACTTCGGCGGCTGGGAAGGCGCAGCTCCCTCGGGCGGGGACCTTCGCGTCGGCGGCCGCGGCCGCGGGGCCTCTCCTGCGCGCTCAGGGTCAACGTCCTCGAAGCCCGGCGGCGCAGCCCTCGTCCCCCTCCCCGCACCCCTATCCTTCTTCTCGCTCGCTTCAGCTGCCCTCGTCGCCGTCTCTGCCGTTCCTCAGGCAGCCCGGCCCGGCCTGCCCGCCCCACGTCCCCTCCGGCCGGTGCCTCTCCCCCCGGCGGGCTGCCTGCATGTCTTTGCTGCCCTCAGCCCCGCCGCCACCG